AAAAAACATTTTCTTTCCCACTTACACGAGGTCCGGTTGCAGAGGAAACAGAGGGAAACCCAGACGTCTCTCTCATCAGCAACACTCCAGCTGTTTTCAGGCAGAGGATGTATAATCACTCTAGCAAGTTCTGAGTCTGAAAACCTTTCTACGCAGGAACCATGTGTATAATAATGTTCTTATGTCCCCTCTGTATTTCATAAGTTGATCTTACAGATGTGTAAACCACTGGTTTTTATCTATGAGTTACTGACATCTTGTGGCAGAAAGGGCAAACTTATCACATCACCACCATGGTTGCAGTTTGCACTAGGTTTGAAAAGGTAAACAAAGACTCAGCATTTAAAGCTTAAATTTGTTTTGGCCCTTTTCAACTGTGATAAAGCTGAAATAAACAATGATTTGACTGCAGCATGTGTGTATGTGTTTACCTGCTGGGTATACGGTCACAGCTAAGATTGATTTTCATCCTCCTTTTTAAACTTCAAAATCTAGAGAGCAAAGAAGAAAAATCTAAAATGATTAGTTAACCAGTGGGTCCGAACGTACTGGCTAGATGGGTTCATTTTGGATGCATGGCATGGGCTCTGGAACCAATCTCCTTGAGAGGGCTGGACCTTATTCCACCTGGAATTGCCCATGGTGAGAGGAGCAGGTCTGGTGTGGGTTTACTTGTATCCTACTGGCTTGGTGCCTGGGCTATGGAGTTTTTCCCAGTAAATGAGAGGGTAGCTTCTCTATGCCTTCAAGTGGGGGTGGGGGGGACAAGCTCTGACTAGCTGTGCCTGTCCTTATCAGGAGTGCTAAAAGCTACTGTCTGGGCAGTGCTATCCAACTAACAGGGCACCACAGTTACTCAAAGACATGACTCAGGGGCTGGACATCCAGCGGTTATTGCCATTAAATAAGTTTGTTTTATGGTTTAAAATCCTGTTTTATTTAAAATGAATCCATTGGTGGGCCAAACTGAGTTCATCTGTTGGCCTGATTTGATCCCCGGGCCGGCAGTTGAATAGCCCTGATCTAGGGACTCATTTATTTTGCTGGGGGACTTCAATGCCTATGTGAGTAGCAACAGTGTGACCTGGAGGGGCATAAATAAGAGGAGCTGCCTCTCTGATCTGAACCCGAGTGGTGTTCTGTTGTTGGACTTCTGTGCTAGTCACAGTTTGTCCACTAACACCACACTGATCTTGATCTCAACCAGTGATGTGGTCAGGCAGTGGAAGGAACATTTTATGGACCTTCCAGATGCACAAGCACATCTTCCATGGAGGAAGCCAAGGGATTGGGTGTTGGTCCAGTCATGAGCAGGGGTAGTACAGCTCTGTGGCAGCAGGGCTTCAGGGGTAGAGTTCATCAAGGCTCTGGTTGAAATGCTTTTGCAACATTGTGTGGACATTGGAGGAAGTGTTGACGGGCAGAGTGTGGTGGTGGATCTGTTTAAAGGAACGACCGAAAAGTGTGTTCCAGTTAAAGTGTGATCACTCTCCTCTGTCTTCCAGTAAAGTTTTTCAAGGGTGCTGGAGAAAAGAGTGCCATCCATGGTTTCACCTCAGATTCGGGAGGAACAATGTAACTTCCATCCCAGCCACTGGGCCAACTCTTTACCCTCACTAGGGTAGAAAGTTTTACTAGGACCCGCTGAGGAAGTTTTGAAATATCCCAAATTTTAGGTTGAGGAATGAGGCATGAACTCTTGAAACACTCAGTGTCCTCAGAGACTGCACTCTTTAACCTCTCTAAGTGACAGATATTTCATCTTATTTGATATTATCCCTTTATTTTTGGTCTATTATTTAAATATATTTAAATTTAGGCCGTTTTTTTTTTGTCTTAGCACTATTTATTATAACTGTAAAGATAACAGTCCTCGAGTCATTTGTCCCTGGAGACAGATGAACATGTCTGTCCGCTGTGTACAGCGTGTCTGCACCGTCACACGGTGTTTCCTCAGAACAGCTGCAGCCAGTTGTTTACTGCGGATGTAGCTGAGCTGCTGCTGCTGCCAGAAACACAGCAGGAGGGAAACCAGCGCAGGTAAGTCCGGACACTTTCACCTGACACCTGCTGCTGGGTGGGCAAAGTCTCTGAAAAATGATTACCGGCTCGTAATGAGCTAATTTACCTTCTTTTTTTCTTGTTAGATTAAGAAACCGGACAAAAAGTCCGCAATAACATGGGCAGTGCATGACCGACACCGGAACAAGAGAACCCGGAACTTCAAAACAAAACATAACTGCGCGTTAAATACGTTTTAAATCTCTACACACGTACTAGTTAAGAGGGTTATGCTATGATAAGTAATTTACACTTTTATGTGTTACTAATTATATCAAAATAATATATTTTGTTAGGAAATCAATGTTGTCAAATAATGTTTGGTTTTAATTTGAAAGTCACAAGACGGAAGCTAATTCATATCGAGATGCACTTGACGCAGAAAGGAAAAAATAAAAAATCGCCGGCTGCTGCTGCAATGGGACGTTTTGTTTCGTGTTAGTTTTTAGTGACTCATGAGTCTGCAGGGTGTAAGACAACATCTGTAGGTGGTGATTTGGAAAAAAAACAACACAACCAAACTTGTAACGAAGCATCAAACTTGAGCCTGTTCTTAAACTAACACCTCTGACTGCGGCGTCATCCTGTAATTAAAGGTTTATTACTCAACCGTATAGATTTATTTAAAATAGATCATGTTTTTAAAACTGAGTAGAAGTGTTTGAAATTAGAGTTCACTATTCTCCATGAAAAAAGGCAAAACCTGAAGGGTAGGTTTTCTTTCTTCCAAATTCTTGGTCAAGTTTGCAGCTCCTGCACTCAGCTACCTGAAACAACAGAGATGACATCTCTCTGTCAGATAAACACCCGGAGAACATATTCAATAGGGGACAAAAACACAAAGAACATTTAATTTTACCTGTCACTTTAGCTTCTTCTCCATGACAAATACGTTTGGTCTTTAAATCCAAGTTTTGTCTACTTGAGCCAAACTCACATTTCAGATTCATATATAGAACATTTCCTGCTGTGCTTTGACATAACAGATTAAATAATAATAATAATAATAATTAATGAGACAAGGCTGCAACAGCAAAATAGTCCATGTACAACACTCTCTTCTTATCTGATGACTTGTTTTCCCCAACAAGAGCGCACAAGTCAACAATATAATCAACTTCCTGTTTGTATTCCAAGTTATTTTGGTTCTGTGTGCTCTGTATAAGAAACCAGAGGAGGAGGGAGGAGGATGCAGTTAAAGGTCCAAGGCACATAAAAAGATTTGGTAATAAAGATTCTGATACATCTTTTCTTCGGCTCCACAACTGAACTGCCTGATGCTTTTCAGAAATGAACACAGTTTTTACACAAGTTCACTCACTAAGACTCGCCATCAGCTCTGAGGCTAAATGAAGCACAAGCAGCGACTCCCATCAGTGCAGACAACTACTCTACATCTGCTGATGGTTTTAAGGCCAAAGCTCAGGAGCAACACGTAAATGATCAAAATGTTTATTTTAATTAAACAGTCTTGGATGAAGATGCTATTTATAACTGAGAATAAAGATCTATTGAAGATGATGTTGGATGAACTGAGCCTCTGCAGCCAGGTTGTTTGGTTTGATATCATCCACATGTGGCGCAGTGGTGGGGAGGAACAGGTGATGGGATGATTGAACTAAAGCTTGCGTTCAGAGACACAAAGCACTCCTGCAGCAGTAACGTCTTTGCCACGTGGTGTGAGCAGAACCATCTGGAGCTTAACATGGCAAAGGTTAAGAAACTGGTGGTGGACTCAAAGAGGACCAGGACTTTTATGAGTAATTTAGGGGGGGGGGGGGGGTCAGTATGGAGATGATGGAGGACTAGACATAAACTGGACTGGGCAAAGAGCTGCGCTCTACAAAATGGGTCAGAGTTGCCTGTTTATTTCTGAGACAGCTGGGCT